GAAAGAATCACATTCTGCGGTCGATGGTGAAGCTTGGCTTTGGAACTGATCGCCTTCAGGAACCTCTTTTACCTTTGATACTCGAGGATTAAATCTTCTGTAGGTTTCGTAGATGGTGTCTCTGTAGGGGAGATATTACCATCTTATGACGTAAAGCGTTCTATGAGAATTTGACCGGGTTAGGTAGACCATTGTTGTAAATATGAGATGAAATTGGGCGGTGAAAATTTCTGATAAACGGTGAAACATTAGATGGGTTGATGGGTGTAAAGGATGCAATACACTTTTCGTCGAAACATCCATAGAAGATTGATAAGTTCAGAACTTTTCATTGATTTCCCTCACTACCAGGATTGATTGTTATGTCTTAATTTACATTCAAGGGTTGATTTTTGTATCATAATTCAGCAACCTTAGGATATGATTGCAGGCGGAAACTCAAATATGTGAACTTTATTCCAAGAAATGTGCAAGTTAAACTCTATAGAACATCAAAGGTTATTGAGGTATATATTCAGTGTGACCCATTTTTGATGGAAACACCCCCCTAAAATTTGAAGTTGTAAATCGATTTCAATATTTTATTTTAAATGTCAAGTACTAAAAGGCTACCTTGGGACAAAATATCAAATGTTTATTAAAGTTTCAGGGCATACTACGATATTTTTTCTTAGTCGAAAATCGGGATTTTTTATTGACGATTTTTTTATTGAAAAAATCACTACGCCACTGGATTCAGAGTGCCTCTAAATAGGTGTGACCAAAATTTCATGAAAAAATATTCATTATTAACAAAGTTATGACAACTCAAAAATTCGAAAACTCACCCAGCTAACAGTCACAATATATAATGTTTTATGATTTCAACAATAAAGTGCCGCCAGATGAAAAAAAAAACAAATAGCGTAAAAATTTTCAATGAAAATAACGGAATTACATTCACACAATTCAACTAACAATAAAGCAAAAAATTTTAATAAACGTAACTAATAACTAATTATTGAAATGTTTCCATTGAGTGCAACAATTAATTCTAAGTCATATTCTAATAGCCTCTACTAATCCACCACGTATTTCGATACATGTGTCGTAGCGCTTACGAATGTTTCTGATTATGTTCCTTAGTTCTTGAGGCTAATATCTGCACATACCTGTCGAATTCTTGCACAAAGTTCATTTCTATCTCTTGAACGGTTTTTGTAAACTTTTTGTGTGAGAAGTCCCCAGAGATAAAAGTCAAAAACTGTGAGGTCTGGAGATCTGGGTGGCCACTCTATAAACGGACTACCACGGCGTATCCATCGGTTTGGAAAATGTTCGTTAAGCCATTGCCTCACAGCTCTGGCATAATGAACTGAACACCCATCTAACTGGACAATTAAATTTGATCGTTCATTGATTGGCAGCTCGTGAATAGCATCCCAAAACTCTGTGTTTAAAAATTCTAGAAACCTCTGCGCATTCATGTTTTCCTCAAAAAAGAAAGGACCAATAATTCGTTCGTTCAATATCACACACCAGACGTTGATTTTTTGGGAATACTGGCTTTTACAGTTTATTACCCAGTTAGGATTAACCGCTGTCCAATAGCGATAATTCTGTGATGACATTAATCCATTTGTAGTGAAAGTGGCTTCGTCGGTATATAAAATATTTTTTTGGAAATTTCTATTGTTTAAATATTTCCCTTGGGCCCATAAACAATATTCCAGGCGTCTTGCTTCGTAGTCTTTTTGAAGTGTGTGTAAAAATTTTGGCTTGAAAGTTTCTCGTGGAATATTCAAATCTATAGTGGCATTCCTTATAGTGGCATTAGGATTATTTCCGAAATAATCTAAAATTATTTGATCATCATTCCTCTCATTTAGGTTTCGTCTTTGTACAGGATTACTTTTCAACATCATTTTTGATACTGCACCAGTTTCATTGAATATTTTATTTATTTTATTTACCGTACCGCAGTTAATACGAGGACGATCTGGATGTCTCTCATTAAATACTCTACAAACCTCTCTAGCACTTCTAACGTCATCTCACGAAAGGCGTACAATTTCAATTTTCTCTCTTACGCTTAATCTTGCAGCCATGAATGACACTGTAAGGTGAATATTGTTGACAATAGTACACTTAAATCTTTCACAAGTGTCAAACTGTAATATCATTTCCATGGCAACTAAGATTTAAATTGAAATATTAGGTCTTAGTTTGAGTTAATTTGCGTGAAAACTTGAATGTAATTCCATTATTTTCATTAAAAATATTTAGGCTATCTGTTTTTTTTCATCTGGCGGCACTTTATTGTTGAAATCATTTAGGAGTGATTAATTTTTTGTATCAGCTGGAGTAGTAGAAAGCCAAAAACTTTCTTTTAAAAAAAAATCTATTAATGTGTTTATGTATGGCATATAAAATCGTTCAAATTTCCCTCAAGGCTTTTTTGGGTGGAGCGCATCCAAAACGTCCAATTTTCCATGATTCTAGCGCATGACTCGGGCTGAATAATCTGACCGACGATATGGGATATGTTGGCTTTGAAAACCGCTGTGGTTTGTGGCTTATACGCATACACCTGCGACTTAAGAAAACCCCACCAGGACAAGTCTTACGAGGTCAAATCGCATCATCTCGGTGGCCAGCTCACATCACCTCCACGTGGGATGACCATGCCTTTAAATCGCTCATGCAGAATATCTAAAATGGCATGAGCTGTATGGAACGTACCGTCGTCCTGTTGAAACCACATGTCGTTGGTGACCAGATCATCCAATTCAGGCCAAAAGAAGTTGGGAATCATCGACCTTCAGTTCTCAAAGAAATATGGAATGATGTCTCCGTCAGTTGAAAATCCACACCAAACAGTAAATTTTTTGGGATATATAGGACGCTCTTGGATCTCATGTGGATTGGTGATTTGACAAAACAGACTGAATGAATGACAACAAATTTGACAGATGTAGCTTTAACCAGATGGCCGTTATCAATTGTCAAAGTTCGGAAACTCCTGTTTGAAGTCTCGTTATAATAGTTATTTATGTATGAAGGGAATTAGGAGGGCCTTAATTACCGATGGCAAAGTTTGCGTCTCGAGGGCCTCTGGCCCGAGGGACAGCAATTGCCTGTGGTTATTAAGGCTCATTAATTCCCGTGGTACATAGATAATTTTATTTCTGACCGATTTCAATAAAATTTTATTCATTTTTGAAACGGAAAAATTTACCAATTCATTACCTTCCCGGTATATTTGAATCAGGTACCGTTGATTATAGTAGAGTTTTCTTGTTGCTAGGTTGTTGCTATGTTACTTGTTTATTCGTTTCAGTCAGAAACGTATAGTCCGAATTCTTTATGGACTAAATGGTCAATGCTAAAATCGATGGTGACTATACATGAGAAACGAGATATCACCAAGTTCAATGAACTACAGGCTTTTTTGAAACGGAAGAGTAAGAGTTATAAGCCAAAAAAGTCCTATCCTAAAGATGTTATCAGATTCCTAAAGGACGTTCCTAATGATATTCATTTATTGCATAAGGTAATTTTTTTCTTATTTTCCTTTTTGTATGTATTTATTTCCTTTTTTTTGTTATAGGTTGTTTTGATTATGGGTTATTTTGGAGGATGCAGAAGTCAAGAACTTTTGAATATGAAGATATCGGATATAGAGGACCGGGATTCCGTTATGGTAGTGAACGTACCGGAAAGTAAAACTGGTGTATCGAAGAAATTTACAGTTGTGGAGTTCTCCGCTTTGCCTTTATTAAGACTTTATATGTCTTTGCGTCCTAAAGGTATTGAACGATTTTTTTTGAGCTTCCGACAAAATAAATGTACATCTCAGCCAATTGGAAAAAACATGTTTGGGAAAATCCCCAGCAAAATCGCAATGTATTTAGGATTGCCAAACTCATCTTCCTATACGGGACATTGCCTTCGTCGCACTTCTTCTACTGCTCCAGCCAATGCAGGAGCAACTATGACTAACTCAAAAAGACACGAAGTTTGGAAAAGTTCCACGGTGGCGGAGGGGTATTTGGAGGATAGCATCGAATTGAGAAATAAAACGGCGCGTATGTTGTCTACTTTGTCATCAGAAGAGGCAGGTACCTCGACTGTAGTGAACAGAAGCTCCAGCCATACAAAAGAAGAAATTGTTTCCAGTGGCGGAAGTAATTTTCAGGGAACATTTCAAAATTGTACATTTATTATTTGTAATGACGTGAATAAATAAAATATGGTTCAGTTTTCATTTCTATTTATTTTTACTTGTGACATCTATAATGTCCCAAGGGAGTTATGACCCTCTTTATTGATAGCGTAACTATGACGATATAAGCTTATAATATCCCGGTCAGAAATAAACTATATTAATATTTCATCATGAGGGTTTCCATGAACAGTTCACAAAACCGCAACACTTGTTTCATTATAGAATGACCTCCTCGTATATAAGCACGCCTGAGGAAGCTGTAATGAAACAGGTGCTGCAGTAAATTGTTAATTGAGTGCGTTATGGATTTTTATCAAGTATCGGCCAGTTCCACCACAAATTAAGTATTTCACTCAAATATTTAGGGGCTGCTTTTAAGAGACATAACAGTAAAACTTCATTGTACTTAATCAAACTGGATTCTTTGGTCACAGAAACAACATATCTGATTAAAAAAACCGCAGATATGGTAACTATTGGGATGTGTGATCAAAACTAGGGTTGATTTTAATGAATCTACTTGTCATTTTTGGATCATATTTTGAAAAGTAACCTACGCCATTCCTTCAATCATAGGCGTCTCTCAAAAATGTCAGAAAATTGCTATGGCTTAGTAGCTGGCTTTTGGTAAAAATGATTTTGTCACTCTGGAATAATATCTGTATTGAATATATTTTCATAGATTTGAACCCTTTGACATTTGTTTCTGAAAATGATATTTGTTTGCTGATTTGCAGGTTTGAACCTTTGTTAATTTTTCAAACAATTTCGTGTTGGATATACATAACAAAACATTTTTGAAAAGCTTATGACAAATTATAACTATTGCTACGAAGCCTTAAGATTTCAAATCATACCTTGAGAGAGGAATCACAGAAATTTTTTCGAGAATTTGAAAGAAAAGTCAGGTAAAACAGTCAACTTCAAAATTCTGACACCACTTATGAAATAATGATTTTTCACAAGATACTAGCAAATACTGACAATTTTGAAAGAGAATGAACACCACTGAACTGAAAATTGAAGAAGTAGTTTATACTCGTACGTATGCTATTCACTATTGATTACTCATATTTGGGAAAGAAAGTTTTTGGCTTTCTAGTTCTCCATCTTGATACAAAAAATGTGGGAATCTTCCAAAGGAAGAAAGGAAGCAATCAGTTTCAAAACTTTACTCTATACAAAGATGTGTAGATCATATAGTTTTTATAGTTCATCTCGATTTGTTAGTGGTTGGTTACACCTTTTTATAATGCGCTTAATTTTAATAGTGTCAGTTGTCGGTAAAGTTTGGAACTTTACCGACCTGGAGTGATGTTGTGATGAGTGATGTTGAAGTTCTGGTATGGCTGCAGGAATTGACACATTCGGCTGAAAAATTTATGGGATCTACAAAAAACTCGACAATCAAAGATAAATCAGGCTTTCCAGAGATCCAGTACATAACTAATTCCAAACTATATTCATTCATTGTACTTGCTAGGGCTATTTACTATCAACTACTATACATAAGTATAAGCCAGTCTCAAAACGTTGTTTGACATTTTGGAGCAATTCTGGAGGTAATTGAAGGTATTGTAAAAAATGAGATATAAAACTTTCTATGTTTTTTCACTATTTTTATTCCTAACTGATGTTGTTACTGCAGTTTCGTCCTATAAGGACACTTTCACGTAGTAACGGCTACATCCATCAATTCTTTGATGGTATTGTTTTTCTCGCAAGTTGACACCAAAATTTCTCATAACATGACCATTTCAATGGTTTGTCGCACTTAGTACTTTTCCTCTTCAAATTCTAAGGATGATGGTCACCAAGAGGCGGGGTAGGAGATATGACAGTTGATGTTACGACAGGAAGATGTCCCCTATAACATCAATAAATTAATGTTATTGTTTTTTTCGCAAGATAACGCCAAAAGTTTCTATAAAATGCCCATTTTATTGGTGTGTAACACTTAGTACTTTTTCTCTTCAAATTCTAAGGATGATGGTTACCAAGAGGAGGGGTAGGAGGTATGACAGTTGATGTTATGATAAGAAGATGTCCCTTTAAATTACCAATCGACTTGTAGTTGCTTTTTGTTCTTGACAATATGTCCTGAACACATTCTATCAATGTTTTAATTCAACTTCGAATCTTTAAAGCTATTTTTTTAATTAAACTATTGCTTAGCAACTGGAAAGAAAACAAAATGTTATATAACATTAAAATCACTTTTTCTTTGGGAAATGCTTGAGGATTCTGTGTGGACGCCTATGTTCCCACATTTGAAACTCAGCATTACTCTCTGTTTAAATGAAGCAGTGACGTCTTCTGTTCGACACCCTCCCGCTGAAAACTAAAACGCGTAATATCTCTCCTCACCAAAAACTTGAGGACGCCAAGACAATAAGGTCGTCTGATTGATCTCCTTTGTTCTTGATTAAGATATAAGCTTTCAAATCAGAGTGAATTGAGAAAATTCATTGGATATGTTTGAGGCTTCTTATTTCTATGTGGGAGTTGAAACAAAAGAGTTGGTATGATCAGATAAGGTAAACAAAGCATAAATGAATAGTTTTTAACGTATCTCAGTAGCTGGTCTTTGATTTATTCGGTTCGTTATATTGGAATAATATTTTTTCACCTAAAAAAGAGGGAATATTGTTACTCCGTTTTCATTCAGATGAGTGGACTAAATTTTAAGATGACGTTAAAAAAATGATAACCTGTAATTCTACTGATTAGAATGTAACAGTTATTTTATGTATTTATCCTTATCAACTGAAATTAATATCATGCAAAATGATTACTCATAATTTCCTAATGAAACCACTTTTGAATGATATCATATACGAAGATCTGTCATATCCAGATTTCAAAGCTTCTTGCAGATGATGATTATGATGCAATCTTTCAACATCAACTACTCTCAAGTACTCCGAAAAGTTATATGGGGACTACCTAATGCTAGCTAAAGAAAGGAGAAGCTTCTTTCTTTCAATGTGCAAGCACATTCAATTAAACATTTATTTGGATGATGACATTATATGAAGAATGCATTTCAGCCCATGTTTTCTTTACAGGTATAAAATGAAGAACTGCAAAAAAACTAAGAGTAAAATTCTTGTTTGTCCCAAAGATCTGCCTGCTCATTGGTTGAAGATGTGTAAAAGTTCTACCAAGTCCACCATTTCACCACTAATACAAGTAGATGGATCAACAACAGTAGGAAACCTAATTTACTTGATGACTACTTCACAGTTAACTTTTGAGGTAAAATACCGGTCACACTCTCCACTGTTCACTCCATAATGCCAGATATCACTGTTTTCAACCAAACATTGAAACACCTCAACTTAAAACTTCAATAAAGGTTCTAATGGAGTCAGTGTCATGGTATTAGTGTTATATGAGCTCTGTGTTATAAAACAAAATTTTTTCTTCTTTTTTTCGGAGATATCTTGAGATTATCCTAAACTCAAGGTTAAGAAATACATTAAATAATTACAAAATAGTTGCTTCAAACAAGTAATATTCAACATATTCTTAGCTTAACTATTTAAAATGTATATTACTGGAGTGTTTTTCCAACATCAAACCGCTATTTTGACACTTCGACACGAATTATATTTCTCGTTCACACAAAAGGGTTTTTAAAAACTTTTTATTTAAACAGAGTAACAACTAATAACTATGAAATATAAGTACTGGCTATTACAAATCAGTTGCACCTATTTATATATAAATTATTGCCGACTTTGCAGATATCAGCAAAATAATTGATGTCGTCTTCGGGTCATCGAACAATATCCTGCTGATGTAAGGGGTTATCGAACTGTAACTTCTCCATCTCCTGGGGAAGTCTTGTAAGGGACGAACAAGACTGAAGATGATGCTTCGTGTTCGGGAACTGGTGGATCATCATTGGATGGTTCTTTCTTCGTTTGCCTTTTCAATCTGTAAATTACGTATAGAATGAAGATGGTGATTGAAATCAAAAACGAGTCTATTGAGATCGGTTTCAATTCTCTTGACTTCTATTGAGATGGTATCTTGATTATGTGTTAATAGAGAGATGGTTTCATTGTAGTTTTTCATTATTCTTGTGTTTAAACTGATGTGTTGGTTCACATGACTTATTATGTTCCTTTGGTTTTTTTTAGGGAAGTAATAGCATTATCATATTTCCTTGCATCTTCTTGGTCCAAGTTTCCAGAAATTGCTTTGATCACACTTCCTAAGCCATCTATGAGTCCTCTTTTGGGTCTACTGAGAGGATAAAGAGTCTGTAACTTTTCCTTGGCACTTTTCAGTTGGTACTTCTGTCCTTGATCGAAATTTTGACCATATGCTCCTGCAGAGATGTAGAGAAGATGATTATGTCATCCATATAAACCAAGCAGATAGTCCCTTGTAGTCCCTTTAGGACATTGTCCATAACCCTTTGAAAGGTCGCTGGAGCATTTTTCATCCAAAACGGCATACGCAGGTACTCGTAGTGTCCGTTTTCGACGTTGAATGCGGTCTTAGAGATGTCCTCCTCTGCCATCTCTATTTGGTGGAATCCGCTTGCCAAATCCAGGGTAGTGAAATATTGACACCTTCCCAGTTTGTCGAGGATGTCAGAAATGTTCGGAATAGGGTAGCGGTCGTCTATTGTCTTTTCGTTGACTTTGCGGAAATCCACAACGATACGCCATTTTGATTTTCCAGAGACGTCCAGTTTTTTTGGAACGACCCAAATTGGTGAGGACCAGGGAGATTGGCTAGGTCTGATGATTCCTTGGTCCAATAACGAAGTTATTTGCTTCTTGACTTCTTCCTTGTGTACATACGGATATCGGTATGATTTTGTGTAGACTGGGATTTCGTCTCTGGTTTTATATGGTGTTTGACCTGATTGGTGAATGTGAGTGAGGAATCTGGATGGTGAAAAATATCAGCATTTCTTCTGCATAATTTTCTGATATGCATCTCCTCTTCTGGATTCAGGTGGTCTGTTCTGATTAGATCATCCATGTTGTTGATTGGGTCTCTGTTTCCTGATGGGATTATGTCAGCAGAATAAATATGATACTCTTGAAGATTTATTGGGCTGCTGCGTACTGGTTCGGCTAGAACGATTTGGAGTTTATCTGGACTGAAGTTGACAATTTCCGTCCAGGCTAGATGATCACGGGCATCAGTGAGAGCTTCACGGATGTAAGCGCTTTGCAGTTTCTGTCTTGGTATCATGATAGTTCCATTCTTCTCCTTCACCGGTAATCGTACTTGGGTCACGCTGTCTGGCTCCAATTGAATAGAGTAGAACTGGGTCTTATTGGTTTCGTAGTACTGGATTGGGAGAGAGGAGTATTCGGTTAAAAGGGAGGATTCAGGAAAATTCAGTTCATTGGAATACCTAAGGAGAAAAGAAGAATATCGACAGGAAAGAGAGAAAATGACTGAAGCAAATACAAGTAGAAAATAAATAGATGAAGAATAGCGTTTTGCCACATGTGAAAACATTTGATGCAAATTTCAAAATGCAATTTCGAATAAGTGTGCTTCAACTTGTACAGAAATACCTACCACAAACACAATAAAACAATACACAATCATCTAGTGAACAACAGACGCAAGTGATAGAACAACACCAAGCAACAACAAAGAAAAACAATATACCATTCTCTACGGAACCTCATTTCACAGATTTACCATTTCAACAAAATATACTTTCAAGATCAAGTCATTCATCAACTCATTCGGCTTATTTTCCACCAAATGAATTCCACAACCCTGGCAACCGAGCAACATACCCAGCAGAGTACAATAATCCTAGACCTAATAATTATTTTGAAAATTAAAATGTTTTCATATATTCGTATAAGAAAAAACGTTTAAAGAAATGTTTAACGTTGAGTTTTATATATTTTTGCTGAAAAAATGTTTAACTCTTTGTTTTATATATTTGTAATAAAAAAAATGTTGTTCAGTATATTTGGGTATTTAAATAAATATTTTTTATTAACTTACCTTAAAGTTACCATGAGTCTTTCTTCAGATCCAATTGGTTGACAATGGCAATTCTGGTAATTTTTCTTCAGTTTATCTCCAAATTCGTTTAAAATATAATCAAAAGTTTCTATTTTCATTCTCATATAGTCAAAAAAACGGACAAGGTCCTTTCGTAAATCTTTATACATGCGTTTTTTGTTTAGGGGATGTATTTTTAGATATCTTTGATATAGGTAGAATTTTTTAGTAATATAATTCAGAATAATACCTTCGTTGAATTGAAGGGGTTATATTTTTAGGAGTGATTAATTTTTTTGGGAAAGAAAGTTTTTGGCTCTCTACTACTCCATCTGATACAAAAAAAAGGGATGAGGGAATCTTCCAAAGAAAGGAAGGAAGTAATCAATTTGAAACTCTATACATGAATGTGTAGATCATGCAAAGAAGTAACTTTCAGACACAAACTGAAAGAAAGTCCTCCTGAAACAGCTACTTTCATATAAACATTGAATTACACGAAAGAAAATAATTCTTTCGAAACAAATACTTCTATATGAACACTGAATTATACAAGATCAAGCTTATTCCGTGACATTCAAAATCGTAATTCATGAATGAAGTGTGTGTATTTTCTATAATGTTATCCAATTTGGTACTGAAGAGCCTTAGGGCAAGTGTCTTATGGTGAAACATCGGTGTATACCAGTGAGGGTGACAGTGTTCTATGTGAGTACAATTTATTATCATTCATTCAAAGTAGAACTCATGTGAATGATATCTGATTCTTATTCCACAACAAATGTTTGAAATACAAACTGAGTAGAGAAAAGTATCTTCTGCGTAATTCAGTGTTCATATAGAAGTATTTGTTTCGAAAGAATTATTTTCTTTCGTGTAATTCAATGTTTATAAGATAGTAGCTGTTTCAGGAGGACTTTCTTTCAGTTTGTGTCTGAAAGTTACTTCTTTGCATGATCTACACATTCATGTATAGAGTTTCAAATTGTTTACTTCCTTCCTTTCTTTGGAAGATTCTCTCATCCTTTTTTTTTTGTATCAGATGGAGTAGTAGAGAGCCAAAAACTTTCTTTCCCAAAAAAATACCTTCCTCATCTGATGAAGAGGATATCGAGAAACCCATGTTTATGCGACGCTTGTTCACACCAAACTGGTGCAAAAATGCGATGCTCCGAGCGTCGATCTGACCACTAGGCGCGTGGGTCGGAGCGAGGGTCGAGGGTGCTATGGTGCGATGCTATGGTCGGAACGATGGTCGGCGCTCTGTTGTGTCCGCAGCCTAACAGTGGGAATAAAACTTCCCCCTGAGGATTGCCTCTTGCGACCATCGGCAGCATTACCGGATGATTGATTCTAAGTTTTGCAATTCACTTAATATTTTTCATATGTGAAAATGGCGACCTCTTAACTTTGGGTAGCCAGTTGTCTCACTCCAGCCGTTTCATTTTTATATGTTTTTTGCGTTGTCTAGCAAACAAACGTTTCAGATTGAGAACGCAACTGTTTCATTTTTTGTCGGAATCGTTGAAGTACCATGTAATAACACGGTGCCTAAAAACAAGAACGTGAGGTAATTGTCGAGCCAGGTAATAATACTTCTCTCCACAGACACTCATTGTTTCGTGTTTTATGAAGTCGTTGAACTGACGAAAACATCTGATAAATGAATGTTCTACACTGAGCTTGCACATTATACGCTGGAAACAGACCTTCGCGTGTGTGAAGTGAAAATGTATGGAAACCGGAGATGATAGAGTTCGATAAGAACGTGAAATATTTACTCTGGTGCATTTTACTGTACATGAGACTTGGGAATTTCGCTATAAATGGAATTTCTTCTGGAAACAACCGAGTTGCGGTTGAAGATTTAGGAAGTATAGGAATAACGTAAATTTCGATCTCCGTATCGCCTTGGAGGGAAAATATCGTTTTCACGTAAATTTTCTCAATATGGTGTACAGGAAATGTGTACATCATTGTGTACATGATGCAATGATATTAAAGAAACTTTATTAGAAACATATTGAACTTCAGTAAATTATCTGAATGAGTTGTCAAGTGGCATCTATTCAAAATCATACGGCACAAGAAAATCTAGTCGTGTCTAATACTCTGAAGTAGACAAGAATATATCTGTGTTGAGATATTGTTTTTTGTTAACCCGCTGTCACCCTCTACGAAAGATAATCCTAAAAAATTGAATCTTGGGGCGAGCTGAGAATTAACGTGGTATTATCTTTCAACGTGCGATTCCTAGCACCACCTATGTCAATATAACGGGCTACCGTTTCGAAGGGTTGATGTGCACTTTTTCAGTCTGAAAAAGTAAATCAAATGTGTTTTATATGATATAATTGGCCGATAATTGA